GTTGGCTCGACCGGGGAAGGACCACGCTCTCACAGAATACCAGAATAAAATAGCAGCTTAACACTGCTGAGTTTCGTATGGTGAGTGTAGAGAACCGGAGACCCTTTTTTCTGGAAAAAGAGGCATTCCATCTTTGTCCTCACGGGTGACAACGCATCTGCATTTTGATTCGCAAACGAGGATAAATGTAGATGTCTATGGGCAACAGTAACCACTTACCATCAGGTGGAGTGTGTGCTCGTTTGTCACCCTATCCTATAAAAAAAATAAAAAAAACCTCACAATGCAGATTTCGTCAAATCAAGCTAAATGCTAACGAGGTACTTCAAGAAATGTAACGCATAAGATTCTCTTAGTAGCCTCAAATGCACTGCTTTTTTACAAAATGAAGCGCTTTAAACGGGTTTGGGGTGAAATACGAGTAGTATGATAAACGGGGAAACACCACAATTTGTATTTGTCTAATTTAGCTTCTTTGAATTCACTCTCCTACATTTTCTGCAGAATAAATGCTTATATCTAATTTGGAAGGCATTTTAAAAAACAAAATAAAATCTAGAGTATGTTCTTTGTGTTATCCAATGTTCGTAATATATAAATAGCAGTATACAATGCATATTAAAATTTTTATAAAATAAACTGTCTTTCAGACAAAATATCAACTTAAAATAACTTAAAATACTCTGTGTGTTGCATAAATAGAATAGGAAACCTTTTTTTACTTGTAACAAGGCATTCCATTTTAGTCCTCAGCGGTGAGAACAATATTATTTTGATCTTAAAAAACGATTGAAATATAGATGATGACTTCGAGTCGCAGTGTTATTGAACTGCGGCGCTGTCTGCGAGTTTGAATCCAGGTCTGGATGTTTTTCCTTGTGCAATTAATATAATATGTAAACTGCCTTTATGCAGGAGAAAATTCTAGAATGAGGGTAACGTTTCTTTTTTTTTTAATAAATAAATAGTAATAATATAAATGTAGATAGATATTTAGCCACAGCAGTCAGGCAATCAGGTGCACTTTGAGTCAATTTGTCACTCTTCCTTAAATAAATAATATTATTAATCTAATACATTATTAAATGTATAAATATATATGCATCATGTTGATTTCAGATATAAATAATACCCACGCAATGTGTTCTTTTAAAGAACAAAAGCGTACAAGAAGTTTCTTGTCGGCAACAATTGTACGTGCAAACTTCTTATACAAAACAATCCGAGTAAGACATATTCACGCCTCGGTTTCTTTTGTTCGAAGCGTTTATTTTTCTTGTTTCTTTGTTCGTTAGATACATGTCCTCCTACTTTCTACTTTTAAGATTATAATTATCTGCTGAAATAAACATTTTCTTTTCGTTGAAGGTTTGACAACAGCGTGTCTTATTATTATGTGATAACCATCTACGAGTACTATGACAAGTAACTCGAGTTTAAATCTCAACGTCAAGATTTGTGCAAACATAAATGACTAAATTGCGGGTCGGTAGATTTGTGACTGTCTTCATATTGTTTGAAAATGCATTTACTAAGTTCGACGGCCATTAGTCTAGTGGTGGTAAGCGTCACTGCTTATCTTGTGGTCTATTGTTGGGCCAAAAAAAAATTTATCGGGTTTTCCTGTCAAACAATTCTCAGTTCTCATTAATAGGAAGTTAGTGGTGTTTCATACCAGGCCCCGAAAAGCACGACAATCATTTTTTACCGCGTTTAATCTATCCTGTCGTTTGCCGTCTCATCGTCCTATGAGAGTGAGCGAATAGGGAACTCATACACTCTTGATTTTTAATCTTGAGCTGTGCAGTGATGGCTATTCTCCGTTGATACTGGCCACTATTAATTAATGTTATTTTAGAACTATGTTGAAAAAAATTATTGAAAAGATATATTTGTCGTGTGGTGGTGGCTTAATAGAAACAATCATCCAATTTCATCGCGTGGATGGCATGACAGAGAAAAGATTCAAAATTAATTTATTTCTTTTAATAGATAATATTTTACTTTGATAGATATATGGTGTTGTAAAACTACAAGCAACAGCCACTACGGCGTTCATTATTCCACCTGCTAAGCGTTACAATTTTGACAAATGCTTTCTAAAATAGGAGAAGCTTACGCACAATTACAAATTCTTAATCTAAGGCAGAAGAAGAATAATAAAAGTGCAAAAGGTGGAATAATGTAGGCAAAGATGCAAAAATTTTGTTCAAAATTCAACCGTACGTGATTAACACTGTTGACCGTTACGCTACCTTCTACTAATCCCAAGATGTGTAGAAAGCAAATTCTGCTTGATTTAACGCCAACTCACCAACCCGCCATCCCAGTGAGTTGTAACTCTGTTACTGTTAAGCAATTCTTCCCAGAAATTATTTACCGGTAGCGCTATTTGAACGGTCGAACGAACGAAGATTATATAAAGTAACTAACACTAGTGATTGAAATTTGACAGTAATTCATTACATTTTTAGGTTTGTATATTAAGCAAGAAATATTTCACTTTCAACTACTACTTAGTACGTAGAGTAACTCCGCGACCGAGTAAACACCGTAACCGATTGCTCCTCGAGACTTACTGTGAAAACAGTGTAAAAACTTAGTGGCTATTGTTAAACTGGGATCTACTTGAAGCTACAGCCCTTTCTAGCACCGCAATCCGTTTTCTAATCTCGTCTATAATTAGGGAACTGTGACAAAAATTCATTCCTAAATAATTGCAACCGTGACCTACCTCAACAAGTGTGCGCTCAGTTTGTCTATCACAGTGTTTTACTAAAGTCAATGACCATCTGCCGGCGAAGAAACACGAAAACACTCGAAAAAGCGCCGAATTGACACGTAACGTCGGCGCAGTGACTTGAATCGCTACGGGGATTGCTGCGGACTACGAAACGTTCGTCCCGCCTACTTATCTACGACTCGTAGCACATCATAATTTCTCTGCAGCACGTTGCTTACCTCTGCGCGTTTTAGAAATAAGTATTTGAACATAATATTACAGCAGCTACATATATAAAATAAAATGATTTGTTTGGCCTGTCATAAAATTACCCGACCCGAAGAACAGTTGAGTTGCTCTGCGTGCAAGGGATGCTATCACTACAAATGTTACAACATATCATCCGCATATTACAAAGAACATTTGCTAGCTTTAAAAAGGAATTGGAAATGCAATTCTTGCAAAAAGAGGTAAATGACAGCCAAGTATATAATAATTCTACTACGACCTCCAACCCTCCCGCTGCGGCAATAACATACAACCAGTTTGGCGCGCTGCTTCATTGTAAGTTATCCAAGATAAGTAGTGATATAAGAGAGGATATTACCCACCTCCGCGAATGTCTCGATGCCTTGAACACCAAACTGGCCGACTATAATCGGCGAATAAAGTCCCTTGAGACCAAAGATAAAGAAAATAATATCCTGAAGGCCACCGTTGCCTTAGGAAATGAGCTGGAAATATCGGGTCTGGAAGAAACACCAAATGAAAACCCAACTCACTTGGTGTTAACTATCGTCGCTAAACTGGGCATTGAGCTTCAGGACATGGACTTAAATTACACGCACCGAGCTGGTCCCAAAAACCAAAATAAAAAGACTAACATGGGTGGGAACTGTAAACCGCCTAGCTAAACGTCATGAATTCCTTAAACACGCGAAAACTAGAAAAAAGCTAAAGAGTAAAGACATTCTGAATTAAGGGCCTGAAAATATGATCTACGTAAATGAGCGACGTTGCAAGATGACGTTGTGACAAGGATTAAGAAAGGAATGCTTCGGTGGTTTGGTCATGTAGAAAGAATGAACGAGGAAAGAGTGACAAAGCAAATTTATGTTGCGGAAGTGAACGGCAGGGTCGGGAAGGGACGCCCTAGACGAAGGTTTATCGACCAAATCGGCGATACATTAAAAATGGGCCAGATTAGGAGTACCCTTAACCGACGAACGTGTATGCGTAGATATATGGATGTAAAAGAGGCGAGAGAGGTGTGTCAGGATCGCGCCAAACGGAAGTCCGTAGTCTCTGCCTACCCCTCTGGGTGACAGGCGTGAGTGTTTATGTATGTATTTATGTATGTAAATGAGCGTCTTACTGGTGAAAATCGACGGTTATTTCGTACTGCGAGAGCATTCGCTGTCAAACAAGGTTACAGGTTTTGCTGGCTGCGAAATGGATCCATATTTATTAGGAAAGGGGATGTCAAGGAAGGGAGTCCCGCAATCCATATTAAGTCTGAAAGTGATCTTAGCCGCCTGCTCTCTGCCCAAACCGAACCGAATATGGCAGCCACTTAATAAACGTTAGCTGAGCCTCAAGAGCCTAGTCATTAATATCTTGTCACTACTTTGTAGCCCATATGGTCATTATTTTTCTTATATATATCATAATTTTGAACTCAACTCCTCATCATTGTAAGCACAATCACACACATTCTAACACAGCTTTTAACAGTGGTAGAGCCACGCGGCAGCGTTTGCTGTCGCACGGATGGGCCGGCTTAAACCGGGGTAGTACCACGACCTCACAGAAAGCCAGCGTGAAGTAGAGATTTAACTCTGCGTTTCGCTTGGTAAGTGCAGGTGGCCGGAGGCCCTTTTTACTGGAAATGAGGCATTCCATCTTAGTCCTCACGGGTGACAACGCATCTACATTTTGATTTGTAATAGAGGATAGATGTAGATGTCTATGGGCCGCAGCAACCACTTTCCATCAGGTGGACTGTGTGCTCGTTTGTCACCCTTATTCTATAAAAAAAACACCTATACATCTTCTCCCCCAATGTACTTTCCTCAAAATTTTTCATAGCATTATATGGCATTCTCCCCTTTAATGCCAATATATTCCAATTTATTTTACATGATCTTCCCATGGCTTCCCATGGCTTCCCTAGGATTATTAGATGCCATAGATGTCATCTCAGATAAAGTGCCATAACATAGCCGTCCCAGAGGATTGTAAAGACGTTCTGTCTAGTTTTTAATTTAGGATTTTAAGCATGAACATAGGAAGCATGCGTAAAAACTTTGAAACCCTAAAAAGATTAGATCTTGATTTCGATGTTATTGCCTTCAGTGAGTACTGGCTTGATGAGTATGCGACGGTTCCTATATTTCAAGGTTTTACAACATTTCACTCTAAGAAGTATATTAATAGGGCAGGGCGAGTTGCTGTCTACATATAAGATAGGTGGACAGCCAATTTTTCCGAGCTGAACGTTGACGAGGGTAATTGTATTCTCGCAGAAGTTGCAAATCATTTCTCAGTAGTTGCCGCTTACAGGTCACCTAGTTACACTAACCCAGAAACATTTATTCGCTCCCTTGACGCTAACTTAAAAACGGTAAGTACCTCTCCTTGTCTTATTTTTGCTGGAGACGTAAACATAAATATTATTGGGTCCGCAGCTGACAAAAATTTGTACAGGGAGTACTTAGATGTATTAGCAGAATATGGGCTTTCTCCAGCCATAACCAAACCAACTCAGGTCAAAACCTGCATTGATGACATTTTTGTACCCGTAAGATCTAATGCGAAGTCCGTAGTGTATTTGAATGCTGCTACTGACCATGATATAACTATGGCAGGCATAATGCTAAAGACACAAAAACCAAAAAGACCAAAACCTATTCGATCAAGAGTTATAGTTGACATAGACTCAATAAGATCAGAGCTGGAGGGACCGGACTGGTCTCAGTAATGAACTGCAGCTCTCTTGACGAGTCTGTGAGTCATTTCAATAAAACGGTATCAGAGACAATATTGAGATGCTCGAAAATTTGTGTAATAAGCCGCTCTAGAATCATCTTACTCCCGGATGACTCCCGGTCTAATCAGATGCTCTAAGCACCGCGACAAGCTTCATATTGAATATCGTAAGGACCCAAGCAACCCTACTAAAAAATTTGTATACATGCGTTATAGAAATTTTTTCATAGGTCTAATCAGAAAAATGAAATGTGATTACAACAATTAAGAAATAAATAAAAATAAATGTGCTCCAAAAAAACTCAGGGGTACTATTAACCACATAACTGGCAAAGACACTAGTTCAAGTTCTCCTTTGGCTCTTATCAACTCAAGGCCCTCTGTAAAGGAATCTCTCGATGTTTGCAACTCCTACTTTGACTCTGTAGGTAATAAGCTGGCATTCTTTTTTTTATAGGAGATGGGGCAAACAAGCATGCGGCTCACCTGATGGTAAGTGACTACCGCCGCCCATGAACAACTGCAACACCAGGGAGGGAATTGCAGATGCGATGCCGGCCTTTTAAAATGGAGTACGCTCTTTTCTTGAAGGTCCCTAAGTCGTATCGGTCCGGAAAAATCGCTGATGGTAATCGATTCCACAAGGAGGTCGTGCGAGGAAGAAAACATCTTCTAAATCGCACAGTGGTGGACCGCCAATCATCCAGATGGTATGGATGGTATCGGGAGTTCTGCCGCGATGTGCGTTCGTGAAATTTGGCGGCTGGGATTAATCCGAACAATTCCTCAGAGCACTCCCCATGGTAGATGCGAAAGAAAATGCAAAGGGATGCAACATCTCTTCGCAGTGCCAATGAATCGAGCCGATCGGAAAGGGCTCGGTCGTCGACGATTCGAGCAGCTCTGCGTTGGATGCGGTCAAGTGGAAGGAGCTGGCACTGGGGAGCCCCTGCCCAGAGATGGGAACAGTATTCCATGTGAGGCCGAACTTGCGCCTTGTAAAGTTGCAGGCGGTGTGCCGGCATGAAATACTGTCCCGCTCTGCTGAGCACGCCAAGCTTTTTAGAGGCCAATTTGGCCTTCCCTTCCAAGTGACCACGAAACTGCACGTCACTCGATATGTCGACTCCGAGGATACCGATACTGGCTGAGACAAGAAGGGGAGTGCATTGAAACTGAGGAGATACGACAAAGGGGTTCTTTTTAGCGGTAAACGCGCAAACTTGTGTCTTCTGAGGATTAAACTGGACTAGATTTAGTCGCCCCCAATTCGAGACTTTGCTCAGCAAAGACTGGACTTCAGACACAAGTTTGTTCCGGTACTCAGCGACGTTTTTCCGAGAAATATTGGCACGGCCGGTGTATAGAGCATCACCAGTGCTGTCATCCGCATAGCAATGAATGTTACCAGTTAGCAACATATCATTGATATTGTAACGAACCCCCCCCCCCCCATCTTTTTCTTTTCTACTATATATCCACTTATACTTGTATTTCTTTAGAATCTATATCTGTAAAATATATAAATATATCTAATTTACGTGACCAGTATAACTTGATCTTTCTAAAGGTTTAAATATAGGCCGTTTAATAAATTTATGGCATGATCGTCTTAGTTAGGACCCTTTTTTACGTTGTGTTTGTATAGTAACTTAGTTCTTTTAGGTGTATCTTGGAAGAATGAATATTCACGAGAGCAATCGAAAGCTGTTAGTAGAGTCTTATAAGCTAAAGAACCCCGTTCACGAAGACAGAGCTCAAAAAGGTTAAGAACAATAAATTGTCCCTATTCCACTTGTTTCTGGTTCACAACAGTCAATTCCTTATTAATTAATCCCTTCCCGCTTGGAAAAGGCTCAAAATATTTATATCAAATACCAGTTACAAGGGCTTCGCTCTCCCACATTTAAAAAAAAATGTGGAGGAGGTACACGGCCCCACACACGCCGCGCACGGTGAGCGCCAACCATTTTAATGCGCTCCCCCCGAAGGGTACGCAAAGTTGGGAACTGGACCGTAGTCCACAGCAAAATAACTGGCGAACCAGTAAAAGAGGACTTGGCCCCTTGACAGTGCGTAAGCACAAACATCGACCGAAGTCGCGCATGTCAATGCGTGTAAACGCCATACAGAATACGATCAAATCCAGCCACAGTGAAATGTACGTCACACGGGTTAGGCAACAATCGGCACACTGACCATAAAAAGCCCTCCGTGAGCGCCACCACCTGCCAGACCGCCGTTTCTGCAGACGTGATGTAAGTGTAAGGCATCACCACCAATTGCATGGTCAGCACGGCCAATTGGCCGCAGAGCGTGTCATGAGTCTACCGCTCACCTCAAGGGAATGGGGTCCCACGTTGCGCGGCTTTCGGCCGCAGCCTTGAGAGCCTCCTCAGATTCTCCCTCCAGCTACCACCCGCATGAGGTCAACACATATGCTCCACCAACCAATACAATGGCAGATATAGCCAATAGGCAGTTATAAGATAATATTAATAATTCGCCATCAGAAAGGGTTTGTGTCACTGACGTTGAGTATATGCATTTTTCGATCATGTTTGTCTCACCCACCAACAAGTTGCCTTCAATCTCTCAAAGGTGGGAACTTTATAGAGATATATTATTAAGTTGTTAAATAAAACATCTTGGAGGGCAGACAGTCTGCAGCCCCGCAATGAAGGGACCCGACTTGGGCAAAGCTACTTAGGTTGTGAGTCAAACCAAGACGCAGAGAGCGCCATTGAGAATAGCGACCCGCCAAACAACCATCGTAGAGACGCAATGCTACAGAATGCAACAAGCATCAATACGACTATCGTCGGGCTTACACCATCCCAAGGTCCCCCACACAGTCCCAGCAGACATCACCACCCGCATACCTCCATCGACCAGAACCACAAGATGCATCGAATCAGGTGCAGCACACCCGCAGATCCATCACAAGACACAATACTGCAAGTAGCAGTAAGCATCAATGCAACTATCATACGGATGGCGCCCCCTCACAACACACCCACATGATCCCTATCGACTTTGGTAACAAAATTTGAAAATGTTGTTAACTAAAACTACCACCAACGTATCATAGTAGTACGGTACTAAGACGTCAGTAGCCAATACTCCACGTATCATAGCGCTATTGCACTAAGACATGAAGTTGAGTATGCTTGCTGCACTTAAAAGTACTACCAAACACACTCACCCTAATCCGAAAGATAGCCGACGTATCATAACGCTATGCGCTAAGACGCCGCCCACAACCGGTAGGGGTGTGCGATGTCCACGGGCAAGTCGTATTGCTACAACAAACCCGCTTACCACCGGCACTAAGATGATATATCTAGGACACATCGGTTAGTGAGTCCAAGTTTACCTCGGTCTCAGAGGCTGCGAAGCAACCTACACGCCACTATAATAATCCTTTTCAAGTCCCATTTCTTTCAATATAATGCTTTTACATATTTGAGACCTTCCACATATTTGATTTATTTCATAAACCACACTACTGTATGTCTTATTCATATGGGACTTCAATTCATAACTCTGCTATCATAATGCTTATGCATCATAGAGACCTTCTATATTAATGCTTTGGTTCGTCAGACCTTACTATGTTAAGTCCCTAATATAGGACTAGTCATTGTGCAACCTTAGTACTAGCAGTCGGTCAGCCGACCACCCCATATATATGTACAACCTTGGGTATGTGTCTCCGACAACGCCCCAATATAAGGGAACATTACAAGAACACGTTCATTAACTTATAAATTTTCCAATTATTACACGAACACCTTCATCAACTTCTATTATTCTATTATATTACAAATGTTATTTATCTTTGTTATTGCAATATAATCGTCTTGTATTTATATGATTTCATACATTTTGAACATTTTAAGCAGTTTTTTAATAAATTTAGAGATTTTTAGAGACATTTTATACGTTTACTAATATATATAATATTCAATATTCCAAATGGATATTTTTGAACTCTATGCTTATTATTTGCATTTTATTGTTTAAATTATAATTTCTGAGACATTTTTAAATGTCTGTATAATGAATTTAATTATTATATATTAATAATTATTATGAGGCTTCACAATATGCAGAAGAAACAGCGTTGGTGATAGCACACAGCCTTGTGGAACACCAGCGTTAATAGGCTTGTAGTCAGAGCATGCACCGTCTACAACGACCTTGATGCTCCGATCTGCAAGGAAGCTGGTGATCCAATTGCATAATTGGATATATTTATTTTATTGCATACTCTATTATGATAAAATTGAATGAGACTCAGGAGTCCCTTGCCGAAAAAGTTCACATTCCTGTTCCTTCTGGATCCCACAGTCGAACAGGAAATTTTGGGTCTCATCCAGTCTCTTGATTCAGGTGGTGCCCCGGGTATGGACGGTATCACTAACAAACTTTTAAAATCATTAGCTTACGCAATTGCGGAGCCCCTGGTAGCGATTTTTAACTTAAGTATCTCGTTAGGAGTCTTACCAAGCCAGTGGAAAGTAGCGGCAGTTATCCCCATATACAAGAATAGAGCTAAGGACGATCCTTGTAATTATCATCGCATATCACTGCTGGGTGGTTACTCTAAGCTCCTGGAACGCGTTGTTCGTAAGCGGTTGACTAACTATCTTGAAAAGAATAGTATACTCTCGGACCGTCAGTTTGGTTTCCGTCAGGGAAAATTGACTGAGGATGCAGTAAGTCTTCTCACAGATGTGGATGTAACTAATCTCGATCAGGGTTGATCCTGTGTTGGTGTTTTCGCGATCTGGCTAAATCATTCGACACGGTATCGATCCCCATCCTCGTTAAGAAACTAAGTGCTCTTGGTATTCGTGGTCTGGCTTTAAACTGGTTTCCCAGCTATTTGTCGGATAGAAATAAATGTGTCCAAATGGCGATCAAGCAAACGATATTAGATCTGTAGATTTTGGCGTTCCTCAGAGTAGCATTTTGGGGCCGATTCTT